GCGCCCTCCCTCTGACGGTACAGCGGCGCCCGGGCAGAGCCGGGGCGGCGGGGCAGGAGGTGGCGGAGGCCGTCCGCCCTCAGCCCTCAGCCCCGGCAGCGCAGGGAGCGCCTTACCCGCCCGGCGCCGGACACACAGCGGCCGCGCACCCCGCACCGCCACAGCACCGCCGCCGCCATCTTCCCCCGCCGAGCTCTGCGCCTGCTCCGCGGGGGAGGCGCTGCGGCCGCCGGGCGGCACCGAGCGGACAGTGACACCGCCGCGGGGTCGGGACAGCTCCCGCCCCAGGCGTTGCAAAATGTAGATTATATAAAAATCTTCGAAGAAAGGACGTTTTTTGATGTTTGGCCTTTGATGTTTGATCTTTGTATGCTTTCAAGCCTAATCAACAAGAAAGGAGCAAACAAGCTCCTTTGAAAAGACAAATTACTTGTCGATAGAACTGCCTTGTTGAGGTTTAGGGCTCAACATGTTTCAATGATCTCAGACCTAGAGGAAGATTAACACAAAACTTGGGAAGGATGTACCACCGACAGTGGACACAAAGAATGCAGAATTTACGGGCCACAAGGGCATTTGGCAGAATCCGCAAGACAAGGATAAAAYTAATAAAGACAACTCAGCAACTTTGCTCAAGTCAGCCCTGACTGAGTAAAAAGTAATTCTGGCAGGGGGAGATTGCCCACAGACCCAAAAGGAGTGAAAGACTGAGCATATAGGCTAAACAGCATGAGAAGTGAGAACATCATTAAGCAATAGAAGATAGAATACTAATTAATAACTGAACTAGGTAACTGGTAGCCAGTGGACAGGAATGCCCTTGCTTGCTAAAATGCTTAAACAGTGAAAAGTTTTGGTAGTCCTCGTGCTGGCTTTGTGGATTTGTCACCCAACAAGTCTTCCTGCACAGAACTGTAAATAAATCAAATGTGGATTGGCCTCTTGCACACCRGGTGAATGAGCCTATTTTGGGACAACACAGGGACACCTCCTTGGCCTCTGCCACCACCCTGGTRCCTCCAGTTCCAACTGTGAGGATTGGAGCACACTTGGTTCAATTTATCTGCTTCACCGGGTTGGAATTTCATTATTTCAAGTGATTTACTCAATGCTATTTAAAGGATACCAAATACTTTGGTGGGGGGATTGGTGTTTTTGTTTGGTTGTAAGTTTGCTTGACTCCTTGTGGTATCTAAATCCAGGAACTGCCATGCCCTTTACCCAGAGCAAGGCAGCCAGTTCTGGGCATGTGTTTTGGGGGAAGAGGAGTAGTTTGTTCAAGAAATATGAGAAAAGGGGTGGCTGAGAAAATTAGCTGTCTGACAATTAGGAGTTCAAATGGAGTGGATAACACAGAGCCTGAAATGAGGTGATATTGGGCATTCACAGATCACTTCTGGGCAGCAGACAGAGGCTCCATRGTGGCTCCACCACACACACCAACACTGGCTGACTGCAATGAAATGAGGGGTACCAGAAAGATCAGGAGTCCTCATTTCAAATTCAGCACTGTCGATAGAGTTCAGAAATGGCCTGAGCAGCCTGTGAGCATCTTCAGCTGCAGGGGATTATCCTGAGATAACAAGATACTTGATTTATCTGTGTTGAGCACAGAGACTGGCTGAAGGGAAAGGTAATGACTGACTGWTACCCACCCATTTGTACAGCCTTGGTAATAAAACAAAGAAAAATGCACAGTCATATCTGCTCACAAGAGCTATAAGAACYCACAGATTTAATAAAGCTGCAGGTTTTGAGGCGAGGACACCACACTTGATGAATGCAGCTAGAAAACTTGGCATGAAAGACAACAAATCTATCAGTGGGTGTATATTACGGATTTTTGAATTAAGAATTCCAGGTGAACTGACTATACACCACTGTGGGAGTTCAGAAGAATTAGAATTAAAATCCTACAGCTTAGTCATCATTGCCCTGTATAAAAAAAAATGGCCAAATAGCCATTTTGTCTAAATGTTCAACATTTAGAAAAAAAAAATTGTTGATGTTCTGTKGGTACAGTAAGCTCTAGAGTAGATAACATTTTTGCAAGTTCTGTACACTGGCAGGCTTTGAAGCAATAGTGCCACACGCCTGGGCAGTAGTTACCACGTTTATCATTAAAGCAGCCTGGGGAATATCTGGTAGGTGCTAGAAAGTTGCTCTAAAATTTACAGAATAACATTCCATTACAATCAGTTAWTTCAAACACACTGAGTCTCAAGAGGTCTGTAATCACTGAACAGAAAAACAAAACAACAACAAACAAGCAAAGAAACCCAAGAAATAAACCATAAAAAAAAGAAAAAAAAAGTTGGAGAAACAGAGTGAATATAGTTCAAGAGAAGCTTTTACATTGCCAAATACTACTGAAGAATTTAGCAAGCTTCACTGGAACAATGTTAGCAAGAGGAAACAAACTAGAAACTAYGCATTGGAAAAGACAAATATGCCAAACAGCTACCTCTGAAAGAATAATTGTATTTCTATGGTGAAAGAGAACAAGATTATATGACTGGACTAAATTTCAGAAAATGTTTTCCAGCAGCTTTCATTTGAGGTGCAATAYCTAGCTCAGACTTGTTATTTTTTAGTAATATGAAGAAAGTGGTCTCCAAGACTAGAGGGCAGACAAACTTTTAAAACTGCAATAACACTTTAATGCCATAAAATCTAAACATTTTATTGAAGGCAGATACATTTTACCCACTTTTACAAGGAAAATTAATTGGTTTAATAGCCTACTAATCCCCTTTATAAATCCTTCAGTTTGGTTGATGCATATTTACAAACTTGGGGGGGGAGTTTAAAAGCCACCTAACTGAAATATTGAAGCATTCAACCTCTCGTTTAAGGTATGTCAGGAGGTTTAAAGTGCAGAAAATATCTGGGGTTTTTTGTTGGTTTTTTTTTTTTTTTTAAATCGTCCAAGATAGCATGAGAAATTCTAAGACTGTAAATGTAATATCTGTGTGAGAAAAAGTAATTAAAAAATTAAACTTCTAGAAAGGGTGAAAAGATCCGAAACTGTCTAGAGCTAGTCTTCTGAAAAGGTAATGATGTCTTAATCATCTCTTATAGAAATGCCTAAGAGATAATGAATATATAAGAGCTGGCAGGYATAATTTTTCTTTCAAGCATTTAGCCAGGTGGCATTGCACAGAGCACAACCTGARTCCTCATCATACCTTGCATGCCAATGCTGTTTCTGCCACTCAAACGACCTTGTCAAAAGAAATGCATAGCACCTGATGATAAAGTTTAAAAATACTCCATGAGAGTTTTGATACAAAAGATTATTAAGACAAAAATATCCTGTGTCAGGAATAAAGCATGGACATAATGCACATGTAAATTTCTGTTAAGAGCAAAAGTTTAATGATGGAATATCTCCATATTCTGYTTAGATACTGTTACTGTTCTAATAGTCTCTAAGTTTCAGAGGCTGAGATGAATCATTCATTTCTGAACTGAAAAAGGGAACAAGTAGAAAACCAACAAATATTAAAGGACAGACAGCTAGGTCAGTCAGAATCAAAAGAGACTACGAGTCCACACAAAGTCTGTAAGGTAGATAAATGGGAAACCACAATACCAGAAAAATAAAATTGGATAAATGCAAGAAAATTTACAATATAAACCTTATAAAGAGATTTATATGATTTATATTTACAGTTAYATAAAGCAGAGAAATAGTCTCATTTAAGATATGCTGTATATTCCTGGTCACCTTAGCTCAAAATTGAAATGAAAAAATTATGAGTGCTGAAAAAAAAGCAAGCAAAGAAGATGGACAATACTCAGAAGAAAAGAAATTATGGAGACTGTGACCRTTTATCTTAGAAGCATAGGAAGGAAAATATAAAAAGATATCTAAGTGAGCAGTTGGGGAACTCATAACACCTGGAGATTAAACAGATGATGATTCTACAGAAAGGACATTTTGGACAGCTCATATTAATATTTCTGTATGTTTTAAATTAGTATTTTCTATTAGAAAAATGTTATATTGAGTTTCCCCAGCCCATTTCCACAGGATGCAAAAACTTCTTAGCTGTGGACTTTGCTATTCACTATTTTGCAGAGTTAAGGGGCAAACAATTACCGATATTCACTACTTGAGAAGTAAGCCGACAGCCTGGTAGGAAAAGATTTACTGTCCAGATGCAGATGATCATGGACATCAGGAATATGACATCCTGATGGATGYCCTGTGAGCTGCCTAGGACAAGGAGAAATGGGTATTTTGAGCCATGTCTCAAATGTGTGAATGCAGGTATGCATGTATGGCATCCCCATACCTGTCCTCTGCTTTTCCTTTCCAGAAAACTCAGCATAAGACAAGTCGCTGGTAAGCTGCTGAATGGCCTTCGAACTCCCAGGTGCTTTCCTTTATTTAAAATTCTATTTATTTCTTCTTTTTATCCAAAAGTCGCTTTCAATTAAGAGATCAATGTCTAGAACACTTCCTATTCCACATGCAATGCATTTTGTTGGGGATACTAGCGCACTGAGATGGGCAGGACAGAGGGGTACAACTCATCTGGAGCACAGAGCTGCACTCAGGGCCGGGGATGCCAGCCCCGACCCACGCTAACACGGACCGGAGGGGACCGGCTGGGACTGGGCCGGGAGAACACCCGCGAGAGCGCCTCGGCCACGGCCCGGCCCCGCCTCAGCTCCGGCCCGGCCCCGCCTCA